ATTTAAGGTAGTGCTATATCAGCCTCAGTCTCTTAGCAACTAAATTTAACAGATAACTTTGCTGACCCTTAGTGGGCCTGGAAGATGAGCAAGAATAAACCTTTGGGTATTATATTGAGATTTTGGAATTGTTTGCAGCATAACTTAGTCTATCCTGACTGATAAAACAGGGAAAAATGAAAACTACGCTCAAATTTAAAATTCTATTTCTAATGAATCATAATGTAGGAAAGTATATAATAATATAAATATATAATAATATGTCTAATAAAATTAAAAATGTAATATGTAATATATACTTACCATATCATTCATGTTCTGTTAAAAATATTGAAAGGCTGGGGATGGCACATATGAATAAAATAAAAAAAAATTGTGAAAATGGCCATACTACCAAAAGCAATCTACATGTTCAACACAATCCCTATTAAAAAAAATAAATAATAAAGGCTGGGGATGTAGCTCAGCAGTACTATATCCCATGAAGGAAGCCCTGTATTCCAGTCCTAGTTCCACACACACACATACACACACACACACACACACACACACACACACACACACAAAACTATCCATCTATCTGTGTATTTCACACACACAGACACATATAGCCTTTCTTTACAAAAAGTAAAAATATAAAAATGTTCAGAATTATTACCTTTAGGGTTGTGGAAACTTATATTATTTTCTACCTTTGTGTTTCCTGAATTTTCTTTGTATTTTAATGTTTTTTTGTTTTGTTTGAGACAGGATCTTGCTACATAGTTCAGGTTGGCCTGGAATTTGCTTTGGAGCCCAGGTTGACCTTGAACTCATGATCCTCCAGCCTCAGCCTCCTGAGTTCTGCGGTTATGGATCTGAACTAGCTGTACTTTAATACTTTTTTGTTTTGTGGTACTGGGTTTAAACTCAAGGCCTCCTACTTGCTCAGCAGGTGTCCTACCACTTGTGCCACACTCCAGTCCTAATACATTTTTAAGTGCACCAATATATTATATTTAAGTACCCAGAACTGACTGTTAGATGAAAAGAGAAAGGCTTTAAATCATCTCTTGCTCATTGGATCCTTCACTGGGTCCTTTCAGCCTTAGGAAAGACAGTCCTACACTTTCTTTAAAAGGCACATACCAATGTCTTAGTTTCCTTTCAAAGATTGCTAGCCCAACTAAGCTAAAAAGGAATGGATACATTCCAAAGATATGGAGATGAAATGAATTATATAAAGTTATCTCATAATTTAGTGGTAGAACTGCCCCCACTGAGTCCTCATCCATGGTAAATGCTGTTCTTCCCATTTGTGGAAGTTGTTCTTGCATAAAACTTTACTTCTGGGTTTTTTGTGGGTTTCTTGTTGTTAGTGGTGATGGTGGTTTTTGTTTTGTTTTTTGTGATACTGGGGTTTGAACTCAGGACCTCAAAGCTTGCTAGGCAAACACTGTACCACTTGAGCTACACCCCTAGCCTGTATCTAACCTCACTTGTGCTGCAATTTGAGCTCATGTCTTCTTTCTCTTATGCAGACAGCTAAGCTGTCAAGCAGTAACATTTTGGATTTTGATTCCATAGGTATGTATTATTTGTCTTTTAAAAAAGAGTTTTCTAGTCATCAAGCCATGGTTTTTTAGAGCTTATAGAACATGTGGTCTAGCTTCCTCATTTTAGAGGTGGTGATGTTAAAGCTGAGAGATATTAAGTAACTTTCATTAGTGAAATAGTGGCAGAAAAAATAGGTCTTGTGATACCCAGTATATGCTATTCTTTAATTTTATTCGCCTACTCACAAAACTGTATTGTCTGCTATTTACATGACTCTGTGTCAGGTAAGACTTGTGGAAATTATAAGGATGAATTAAGCATAATATCAACCATCCAAGATCCTTATAATCAAATGCTGGAGATAAGGTACCCAAAAATCTGTTTTCATTGGCATAATTTAGGTTAAAATTCAAATTAAAAGAAGCTAACTTTCCATATAATCTCTAGTAATGGATCCAATCTCTGTGGGGATTTTTTGTTTTTGCTTTGTTTGTTTGCATAGGTATCCTATCTTCACTCTAAGAACTTCTACCCAAAAACTGACCACAACCTCAATACTCCACCATGAGTATGTTTCCTTTCCCTTTCCCATTTTAGCTCCCAATGTTTTTCTTTTGTAATTTATAACTCTTTTACAAAGGAATTATGTGAACATATTAAAACAGTAGTGAAGAATATATAAAGGAACTGAACTCAACAGGATGGTAAAATTTGATTAAAAATAGAAAATTATCTGCATAGACATTTCTCAAAAGAAGATATACAGATGACCATCAAGTACATAAAAATATGCCCAGTTTTTTCATCACTGTGACAGAACGCCTGACATAAACAACCAAAAAAGGAGGAAAGATTTATTTTGTTCCCCGATTCAAAGGTTTTAGTCCATCTTGGTGAAGAGGGTATAGCAGAGCAGCTCACATTATGAAAGACAAGAAGCAGAGTAGAGCAGCAACAGGAAGAGGAAGGTACCAGAGCATGATATAGTCCTCCAGGATACCCCCCAGTGACCTATTTCCTCTAGCCAGGCCCCACAGTTCCACCACTTCCCAATACTCTGTTTAAATTTTGAATCCATCAATAGATTAAACCATTCATTAGGCCAGAGCCCTCTTGATCTAAACTGCCTTCACAGAGAACACCCAGAGGTGTGCTTTACTAATAGCCTACCTAGGCATTTCCCATTCTAATCATGTTGACAGTCAAAATTAACCATCACAATCACTAATCATCAGGAAAATGCAAGTCAAAACCACAACGAGATTATCTCACTATAGTAAGAATGACTTACCAAAAAGACAAAAGATTAAGTGGCAGTGGGGATGAGGAGAAAAAGAAATCCTTGCACATTGCTGGTGAGAAAACATATTAGGATGGCCATTAGGGAAAACAGTATGGAGATTTCTTAAAAATCTAGAAATAGAAAAATCATATGATCCAGTAAGCCCTCCTACATATCCAAAGGAAAAGAAATGACTATGTCAAAGAAAGCTACATTGACATGTTTATTTCAGCACTATTCATAATAGCCAAGATACAGAATTAACCTAGCTATCCATCAGTGATGAGTGGGTAAAGAAAATAACGAATGAATTCAGTGACTGTGGCAGCATGAATAGAACTGGAGGACTTTATGTTAAGTAAGATAAGTTAGGTATAGAAAGACAAATACCACATGTCCTCACTTACAGAAGTAAGCTAAAAAAGTTGCTCTCATAGAAGTCCAGAATAGAATAGTGGTTGCAGAGGCTGAGAAGAATGGAGGGAGTTGGAGAGGGTATGGTCAAATTACACAGGGGAGAAGGTAAGCTTCTAATGTTCTATAGCAGTGAGAGATAACTATGGTTGACAACAATTAGTTGAATCTTTCAAAATAGCTAGTGGAGAGATTTTTTTAATGCTTTCAAAACAAAGAAATGATAACTGGTAATGGGTATACCGATTACCTATGTCTGATCATTGCATAGTACTGAAATGTCACATTACATTCAGTAAGTATGTACAACTTTTATGTGTCAATTAAAACTAAGAAAATAATTTTTTAAAATAGGGGTGGAATTGGAGTGGTGGATCTAAGCACCCTAACATAGGTCCCTGAAAAGGCCTCTATGGTACACTGTGCTTCTTAGAACATATTTCAAAAATCATGTAGCTATCAAATTATCTTTTTATTACAAAGTTCACCCTATTTATCTATCCTCATAATCCCCAGAAATACCTGCCCTGTTTCAGGAGGATTCAAACTTCCTATCTTTTCTTCACAGAGCATGGGGAAGAAGGAGGGAAATACAAGAAGAGTCATTAATACTTACCTGAGCTGCCAAATTTTTAATGATGTTACAAGTCTATATTTTTTTCTGGTTTTCTGTGCCTTATACAGGGGTACCCATGCACAGTACATGAAAGTTCAGAGGTGGTGAAAATACCACTTTAGGGTGGGAATTATCAGGGAGGAGGAAGGGGTCTCTTGAAAGAGGTGACATTTAAGCCAGGCAGAAATGGAAATGGCAGACTACTCTCAATAGAGAGGCCACCAAGAGGAAAGGCAGAGAGGCAGGAATACATGGAGTTTCAACATGGCATGTGATCCTAGCATGAATAGAATGCCAGGTCCGTGATAAAGGCTAGGAGCTATATTGTGGCCATGAATTCTAGGCAAGGGAAACTAGATTTTACTTACTAGGTTTAGGCCCTCACAGAAAACAGAGGGCATGCTCAGGATGGGTAACAGGCAAGCATAACAAAGAGACTATTTACAAAGATGTGTGCAGCATTAAAGGAGACCAGCAAGGGATGTTGAGCACCCTGGGACCATCAAGAGCAGGCAGGTAACAGCTACCATTCTTTGACCTGAGAGAAACAGAGGCAATAGGTTCCAGAATCCTGGTTAGATCAGCAATAGGAATGGCTAACTTAGCCGGATCTGTGTCTTTTAATAGAGGGACAAAATCAACCTGCAAATTGTTGGAAAAGCTGTTTAAGGAATAGAGACCCCAACCTTACTCTCTTCCCACTGCAATATCTTGCATCCCCTGGACTGAGCCAAATTGAAGCCAGAGGAAGAATCCAGTTATACAGTCTACAGTGTCATCCTCTTGGGGCATGAATAGGAAAGAGAAGGGTAGAGAATCAGTCTGCAGGAACTAATAAAAATATCTGTTACAATACGGAATTATAAAAGATTTTCAATAACAGAGCCCCGTGAAATGTGTTCCAGTATTACTGAGATGTCTGTGACCCACAGAATGGAGGGGGAAGCCTCTTGCAATAGATCTGGGAAGAGACTTGGATAAGGGCAATGGTAGAGAGTGGAATGAAAAGTTTTTGAACCATGCTGGTTCCAGATGGGTGTTTGTGGTGGGATTATCTTTTCTAAAGTAGTTTCTCAATCTATTTTTGAGATGTTATGTATTTTCTAATCAGAAACGTGATTATTTTTCCTGTTTGTGGACTTTCCTCCCCAGATCTGAACCTGTAGTCTTGGGAGCTGAGGTGACTCATGGGACATCCTCAAGAGGACAAGAATTCATTGGCCTGCAGAGTTTACCAATTGCACTTTTCTAATGCTTTGGATGAGCTAGCAGTTTAATCAAGAGACTGCGATGAGACAACACAGAGTCTGGCCACGGTATGCTTACAGGAAGTCAAGCAGTTACGCATTCCCTGCTCAGGCCTAATCTGTGGAGACCGTGGTTCTTAACAAGCACTATTGCACTTTAGAAAGTTGCCCCCTGGATCCTGGACCCCAGTGAGTGTCCTGAGGCTCCTTCATGCTGCCATGCTACAAGCACAGGGAACATTTTCCACCTTAACATTCCAAAGTGAGTTCCAGAACAGAGATAAGTGGAAATTTCCAGTTACAGAAACAGACTGATTGCCAATAGAGTTATTTATAGCTATCATTTCCTCTGGAGGTTGGAAACTCACAGGCAGAGCTTCGTATAAACCGAAGCCATAACTGATGGGTTTTATGGCTTCTTAGAGTCTTGATAGCATCTGAAGTTGTTCTAACTAACAGAAAGCATTGGAGTAAAGGCACTGAATCTTTTTTTTTAAAGGTCTAAATCACAAAGCATTTGTTTTAACTTATAATAGTACCATGTTTATTGGTGTTTTCTGTTTTAACTACATCTTTCCTTCAAAAAATTGGGGTTTTTTGTAACCTTAGAAATCAATGGTATATCATAAGAAAAAAATGTTATACTAACATGTGCCTGCAGAGATTTCAGCTATAATGACCAGTGTCTCAAACTAAGCCTCCTTTCCTGATCCTCCGTATGACTTTAAATTAACCTTTCAGTGCCTCAGTTTTCACAGCTGTGATATGGTGATGCTCACTGGTCAGGGCCTGGATGATGTACACTGCGGAAGTCCTCTGGGGTACTTTTTGTGTGTTGAGGAGGAGAGTGACTGAGCTACACAATAGCCCAGTTGTGTTGAATTTGGTCTTTATGCTGCAACCATGAAGCTCAGAGTGTTAACTGACCCATGAACTGCCCTAATGTGTACCTTCACTAATATAATAGTCCTAGGTCAGGAGGCCCTAAAGAAAGCTCTTTAACTAGTAATTAGACTGAGCAGAATTTGGAGTTTGTGGGAATGAAAGGATGTGAAAGTGAGTTACAAATTAAGCATCTTACTTCTCAATTGCCTGCCTATACAAATCAGAGGATGCCTCTGAAGAACAAAACTCGGTTATTTATTCTTCAAAGAGTTTCAGATATTTTGCTTTTGACTGTAGGGCTTCCTCTGGGCCCTTTCAAATCATTACACTTAATATTTTCCCAGGCCATTTGATTCCTTAACTTTGAAAGCTTTGCAGCAGGGTGGGGTCCCTGGGCTGCTTTCAGGTCCCATGTCTTTGTCTAGAACCCCTGCTGTGAGGAGTGGCCCTTCCCAATGCTCTAGAGAACAGGGCAGGCAAACAAGGCTTTCTTCCCTGGGAAGCAAGCCCACCTACGCTGGGCCCCTCCTCCCAGATATGTGATTGCCTGAATCTTCATTGCCAGCCTCAGGATAGGGTGGTTGTTTAAATCTATTTAGGAATCCAGTAGCATAATAGATTCTGACAGAATTCTGCCATCTCAGTCTTTACAGGGAATATTATCTAGAATACCAAATAGGGGAGAGAGCTCCCCAACCTCAGTATCCTAAAATTCAGGCATGGTCGTGAGAGATCATAAAACAGTGTGTCCCAGTGTGAGAAACATTCTATATTATAACATACTATCTTAACATCTAACATTTATCAAGAACTTACTATATGCCCAATGTTAAACATTTACATACTGTTGGAATTAATCCTCTTGAAACCCTCTGGAAAAAGCACTAGTATTGTCTTCACTTTATAGAGAAAATGTATAGACACAGAGAGTTTAAGTAATCTGGCTAAGATTGCATGTTCAGTTTGGAAGGGATAAAGCTAGAACAGAGAACCAGTGTTTATTATCACCCTTATCTGTCCTACCAGGTTTATGTCAGCTGGGACTTTAAGATGGCACTGGACCAGTTACATACACACTTTTTGCTGGCCAAGGATTCATTTCATTCTAACTCTTTCTGGGACAGTGCCATAAAAGAATGGAAGTACAGGTTGCAGCATTCAAGATTCAAACCCCAACTTGATTAAGACTATGTAAGAGGCTTTAGATATATCAATAGACCTCCCTAAGCATCCATTCCCTTATCTGAAGGTACTTAGCATTGACCTTTATCCAGTATTTAGCATGGGTGGTACACAGTAAATGCCTGATAAACATCAAGTATCACTGTTAACCCCACCCCTCCATGTACCAACTACTACCTCTTGATGAAAAGGCAGTGCTCCAGACATTATGGGGCTAATTTATCTGCAGGAGATTTCTCCTATGTTCTACACCTAAGAGAGCACTGAGCTATGTTCTCCCAAGAAATTTCAAGCTTAAATATATAACGTGTAATTTGTGTCCTAGGCTCTCCTATACATGCTTCAACTTCCGGCAAAGTCAGGTTGCTCACTAGTCCTCAAGTATGTCTTACACTGTCCCCTCTACCCAAAATACCTCCTTTCTGGGACTTCAGTTTTCCTTGGGAAAAAACCACCTTTTTGTCCTTTAGTTGTTATCTTTGCCAATTAAACTTTCTGATATTTTCCAACTGAATATGAACGCTTTCTTTTCTGCAGCATTGCTTTCTTTTTCTTGGTGTCGTCCTCATTTTTGAATCATGAGGATTTGAACAGATGCTTTGTCCTCCCCTTAGAGTCCTGTAGGATGAATAGAGTGGAGTTCTGTTACTCCCACAGTGCCTTGGTGAGACAGGTCCTTCATTCATGACTGGCTCTGAAATTCATTACATATTGAGGAGAACAGCTACACTTAACATTCTCACTTTTTATGACTTTAATATGATTAGCTAAAAGTATATAATGGCAGTTCTTAAAAGAGGTAGATGAGTTTGAAACCTTTTTATTTTCTTAGGTAACTTTTACAAAAATAGTATTTTAGAGAGTTTGAGGAATTGAGAAAGAGCAAACAAAGAAAAATCACCTCTGATCTCATTCAATCACAAGTAGTCCATTTTGCTCTTCATCCTTCCTCCTTGCTTCTTTAGGAATATGAGTTTTATTATAGTTGTAACATGTTAATTTTCTATCCTTTTTAAAAATTTGTCCCAAACCATAAGCTAACAATCATGTTGCTTACTAGTTTTTTTCTAATTGTCATATTTGGAGGGAGGGGCATTACAGGGGTTTGAGCTCACACTCACTAAGCAGCCACTCTTACCACTTGAGCCATACCCCTGGCCCTTTTTCCTTTAGCTATTTTTTGGATGGGGTCTTGCATTTTTATGCTTGGGCCAGCCTGCCTCTCAATCCTTACACCTCCCATGTAGCTGGGACGATGGGCATGTGCCACCACATTCAATTCTTGGTTGAGATGGGGACTTGAGAACTTTTTGTCCAAGCTGGCCTTCAACCTCAATCCTCCTGATCTCTACCTCTTGAGAAGCTAGGATTATAGGTGTAAGCTACCATGGCTGGCCCTAATTATCACTTTTAGTGACTGCATAATATTCTTCTGAGTAGCTGTGACAAAGTTTAATCAATCCTTCCCCAATTGATGGAAGGTTGTGGTTGCTACTGATGTTTTGGAATTTTAGCTAAAAGCTTTTGGGCTATATATCTCCTGTGAGCAAACCACCCCCCTTCATTCTCCAACCTTCTTCATCCTGCTCTATGTCCCATAAGACTGACCTGTGTGGACTACAGCAATGGCTCCCTTGACCTCTAGCTTCTGATTGAGTCCAGTCAATGGGGACAATGGTAGGACAAGAGAAGAGTGATGTTAGGGAATTTATTCCCTAGGCTGTCCCTCTCCAAGGTCACTGCTGGCTGGATAAGTCTCTCAACCAAAGGTCAAAGCTTACTCTGCTCTTAGGTTTTCTTAACTGCTCTCTTCCCCCTCCCCTCCCCTCTCCTCTCCTCTCCTCTCCTCTCCTCACCTCTCTTCTTCTCTCTGTCTCTCTCTCTCTCTCTCTCTCTCTCTCTCTCTCTCTCTCTCCCTCCCCTAGCCCTGGGACACAGCTCTAAGCCCTGGTGGCTCGGAGCCACCTATCCCCAGTACACACCTTTGTAAAGAGTCCCTTTAATTAAATATTCAAATTATCCAGTTCAGTGCCCTAGCTGGGATGTCATGCTGCTCCAGATAATGCATTTTACATCATGCTTCCTTAGAATAGATACCTGAAAAGGGATTTATGGATTAAAAAAAAACACATTTCAGGCTCTTGAGTCATGTTATCAACTTGCTTTTAAAAAGTGTCTGTTTAAAAAATAAATAAGTTAAATTAAGTTAAAAGTACCTGCTTAGCCAGGTGTGATTGTACACACCTGGAATCCCAGGAGGTTGAAGCAAGAGGATCACAAGTTTGAGTTCATCCTGGGCTACATACTAAGTTCGAGGCTAGCCGGGGCTACATAGGAAAACCTGACTCAAAAAAAAAAAAGTGTCTATTTACATTGCTACCAGCATATCCATCCAACATTGGATATTTTTAACATACAATCTTTCTAATTGAATGGTTTAGAGCAATGATGCTTTGTGGTAATTTAAGTTTTCACATCTTAAAGTAACTTCGTTTGCTCTGTGCCCATTCTTACTTTGGAGTTTGTCCATGTTCAATCTGAACCTCCCCTCTCCACTCATTCTCCAGTTGTGTACTCTGTTTGCCTAATAACTCAATCTTTTTGACAAATTATTTAATTTTTTTGGAAGTACTAGAGTTTGAACTCAGGGCTTCATGTTTGCTAAGCTGGTTCTCTACTACATAAGCCACACCTCCAGTCCTATTTAACTTCTTTAACCTGCAATGTCATTATCTCCATAAAGATACCCTAACGATAATAATCTGTCACAGGATTATTGTGAGATTTACATGTAACTAGCACATTAAAACCTTCCAAGAAATATACATTCCTTTGTCTTTAATAAGTATGTATTGAATTCAATTAATAAATTATGTCATTTTGGGACAAAAACTTGTGTCAATTTTCTTCCATGTTTATGTTTAACTTACATCATAAGATAATAACATAGATGATCTAGATAGTTCAGTATTATTCAGATTTGCTTTGCTGTTATGTGACTTTAGACTTTTAACCCTTTTAGGATAAAAAATCTTTAAACCATTGTATTTTTAAATTATTTTTTATTGCTTTGACTTGGTTAAGAAAATATACTCTGATTCACACCAATTTTATAGTTAAGGAAGAGGATATGATTCTTGATTGTGGTAAATCAGGTCTGCTTTCTTTTCTATAGATCAGGTAATTCTTTAGTAGGCTACTCGTCTGTTTAATTCTTAGAGCCAACCACCAACATAGTCGCCTGTAAGTAAAAAATTCTTCTTT